CCCCCCCCCTCGATTTAGATCGATCTGGAATAGAAAATGTCAACTCCGTGGAGGCACTGCAGGAAACATTAATTCGAGCGCTGCGGACCTTAATTATGAAAAACCATCCAAATGAAGCCTCTATTTTTACAAAACTTCTTTTGAAATTACCTGACTTGCGTTCCTTAAACAACATGCACTCTGAGGAACTCTTGGCCTTTAAAGTTCACCCCTAGGCCTTCAGCTTTTGTTGGTACAAGGACTTGCCTCATATTAAACTATTTCGTGCTCAGATATTTATATATTTGTACAACTTGTTGGAGAGAGAGGATTCGTTGATTCTGAGTGATTATTAGAAGTTCCATAACGATGCAATAATACGCCAGAGTGAGAACGTTCAGCCGCTAGCAGCACACCATTCAGAGTCCTCCAACCTATCTGAATAATCTGTCGCAGTTCTGCTGGAGAGTTTACTGAATAGATGTTGACTGAGGATTTTTTTTTGTTTTCCTCACTCAACAAAAATAAAAAATTCAGCTCCCTCTGATGTAAACCCAATACATAATGGCTGTGTTGGAACATGGAATTGGGTGGAAACAATCCTGCACTGCCAAGGAAACGAGAGATTTATTTGTTTTTTTCTGCATCTGATTTATGGACTCGAGGAAAGCTCTTGGTTCACGCATGGTTTCACTGTTCTTGCACCATGAAATTTGATGGAATGATTTCAGTCTAGACCAGCCCGTTATTAAGTACGCACACATGCCATATGTATATAATATAAATAGAGACATAGTGGGTGTTTATGACCGTATAAAGTACAGAGTTATGTGTATATACATGTATGTATATAAATAGTTCTATATAAAAGTATATATATACATATAATTTTTTCACAATATTTTAAACTGTGAAGGAGTTAAACCTACAAAAGATGGTGATTTATGGCAAAATCAAATGGATGCACTTTGTGTATTGCTAAATATCTGACCATTTCTAATTTTTAGAAAACATCAAATTTGCATTGAAATGCTGTATTTGTTAATTTAAGAAAAACTGTGGCACTAAATGCACAGGGTCAGGTTCAGACTTTATAATGTCACACAGAAGTAAAAGGAAATTGTTCATGGTACTAGTTAGACTGATTATTCTTTGCCACTAAGTTCTTATGGTGTGATAATGGTTAAGTTGCTGGACACTATTCAGACTGTTCAGGACAGCCAAAAGGAAATTATTAGATGAGTAATAGACTCTTGATTCCTCCTGGAGGAAGATTTCAGGAAAAGTATATCCATCTAATTACCTGGATTGCATTATTTAGTGTGCTCTGTGACTATTTGTTTCTTACACTACACCATTTTGCTGCTTGCCCGCTAGATGAAATTTGAATTCTGGAATGTGAGACATCCCTTCATCTTTTCATAGTCTCGGTTTTTCCTCCTTCATTTGTGTGTTCAATATTAGATCTGTATGTTTTATTTTGTGTAGAAAAAGTTCCACTGGATCTTCTGATTTCCCCCCTGCACCACCTATAAAAGGCTTTTTTTTTTTTTTTTAAATGTATGTAAGTAACAAAAATTCCCAAATGTTGAGGGTCTACTTTATACTCTGATAGTTTGCAGTCTCCAAAAGTGATTATTTATGAGACTGGGTTTTTTCCAGTCACTGCAAGAATAGATGCCACAGAATGTAGTTTAAAAAGCCAAAGCAGTAAAGTTCTAGGTAGTCTTGTTGCTGTCACATAATGTCAAAGGAAAATGTTCTGTTACCTTTGTTTAAATGGGCTCATGTCAAAGTTTGATCCTCTGAGGTTTTAGAATTTTGTAACACTAAGTGCTCTGTTAATAGCTAGTCCCTTCTCTTGTTGTTAATGTGATATAATAAGGGCACAAACCGGAAAGCCTTCTGATTTGTAGAATTCCTATTAAGCTGGTAGGATCAAATCTCAAGTGGCCATGAACCTGATTCAAAGCTGATTGAAGTCACTGTGTCTTCCCAAATCATGGTACCGGGTTTAGGGTATGGCCCTATAAATCCACTTCTGCATCATACAAGTCAACAGGAACCCTGCCACTATATACTTCTATTGCAGGCCTCATTGTAGCATGTACCATACAAAGCAGAATTCCCAATAGCACTGCTCAAAAAAGCACAAGCAGAAAATGGCCAGGAGGGTAAGTACACACTTGCATTGCTAAAAAGCAGAGGGCACAGCTCTCTCCCAGCACTCCCTCACCTCCTTCAGCTGGTGTGGTGTTGCAAAAGCTACCCTTCAATTTCCAATTTTATTACTTATGGGATAATGGCCCCCCTTGAATAAGCTTTTCAACCAGATTATACTTCCAAGGCTCTTGCATCATGTAGCAGGCTGCATTCCACCAGTATTACTAGCTTTACAGCACCACCCAACTTTTATCCAACAAATCAGATTTTGAAAGGACACAACTACATTATATTTTGTTGCATCTTGGAGTTCAGGTGGCTTCTTTGGAGATCTTATTTTAAAAAATGGAAGGTAAAAGTTGTACCTGGAATTTTGGCCTCTTACAGAGGCTTCATTACCACACATACATGTATTTTTTTTTTTCTTTTCAGATTTTTATTATTAAGCCTTTAGGAATGTATAACCAGGACTGCGTAACTACCGCTTATTGAAATTTTAGTTAGGTGCAATATATATGCATATAAATAGATATTCTGACTTGTGCAATTTCAATGAAATCTTCCCATACATAATGGAAAAAGAACTCTGATGAAAAAAGCAGATGGTTTAAAAGGAAATGTTTAAAATGACCCACACATCGCAAATGCTCACTGAGCTACAAAAAATTATAGAAACAACGCCCCCCTCTTCCCCCG